CGGCGGTTTTCTTGTTCTTTGTTGGGTTGTTGCAACTTCAGTGTCGCGTTTTTTGCATGCGATAAGAAGAGTAAGAGAGTGCCGCTCTGTAGAATCACCATTGTGGTGGGCGGTGGTGTTTCCTTGTGAGACGGCGCAGATTAGTGGTAGTGGTTTTCCCTAAATCGCGAGGAGGTGGGTGGGTTTGCGGGGTGTTCGACCCCTTCCGCGCGGGAGGTAGGGTATTACCACTGAGATGTTGAAATGGGGTTGGGCTTCATTTTATCCGTCTAGGCGGGTGTCCTCTTGTCATCTAAATCTTTTGGGTTGTATGGTGAGCATCATTCCACCGGGGCTTCGTCATGGAGGGCGGTGAAGCATCCGTAGGGGGTGTATGCAGAATCGAGGGAGGGGTTTACCCTAAGTCGCGAGGAGGTGGGCGGGTTTCGCAGGGCTTTTTGGCCCCTGCCGCGCGGGAGGTGGGGTAATCCCCTGGTTAGCAAAAACAGCATCGTGGTGGGAGTTGGTGTTTTTGTATGAGTAGTGTGGGGAGGTGCTATCTGCTTTGAATCGCGAGGAGGTGGATGGGTTATGCGGGGTCTCTGCCTGCAGATTGGGGGCCTGTGGGCATAGACCCCTGCCGCGCGGGTGGCAGAGCGGATTAGCAGGGGGTTGGTAGTAACCTTGGATGAATAGTGGACATCATCAAGCAGCACTGACTTTTGGTTTTCCTCTGTTCTTTGGATTGCCTTTTTGCGTATGTTTTCTTTTATGATTGGTGGAATTATGGTTACTAATTAGGATTGCTAATTTTCGCTGAGTTTTTAGGATAAGGGAATTAGGGTTTTTAGTGACGAGTTTTACATTTCCTCAGTGTTTTCATTCCTCGGGGATAATTTAGATTGTGGTGGAAATTTCGTTTACTCTTTGAGTTGTTGGGACTGTGAAATTGACAGTGGGGTAAAATCTAGTCCTGTCCTCTATGTGTTAGGCCGGTGATGCCTTGCCCACTGAGGGCCCCACGTAATTTTGTAAGGGACACTGGGCCCGGTTCCTGGCTTTTATAAAAAAGAAACGTTAAAAAAAAAAACCACTAAAAACGTTTCAAAAAATACTAAAATTGCTTAGACCCTGAACTCAAGTGAAAACAAAAAGAAGAAAGTGAAAAAAAATGTGGGCGAGCACGTTTTGACACCGCCATCTTTGGAGATTTTTAATTCTTATTTGGCTCAGCCAAATGACTTGAAAATTTATAGGCATGTACCTCATGTCATAGAGAACTCACAGAAAACAATTCAGACAAAACAAAATATTTTTAGACCCCGAAATAATTTTTGGCGGGGACCGAACGCCGTTGGGTTCGGACCCCGTACGGGACCCCGAACGCCCGTACGTACGGAGGTCTGCCCGGGGACCTCCGTACGTACGGGCTGGTGACCCTGACGAGAATGAAATTATTGAGTGGGCGAGCACGTTTTTGACACCTCCATCTTTGGCGATTTTGCCTTTTTTTTTGGCTGTGACAAATGCTATGAAAATTTATATATGTGTATCTTACATAATAGAGAATCAACAAATAAAGTTTGAAAACATAATAATTTATTTCATGCCCCGAAATAACGGAAAAACAAGAAGTGAAAAAAGAGAAAAAAAAAATTAGTGAGTGGGCAAGCAAGTTTTGACACCACCATCTTTGAGGATTTTTCATTTTTGTTTAGCTGGACAGAATGGCTTCGAAATTAAGAGGGAGATACCTTACTTCACAAAGAACTCACAAAACAATTTTCAGAAAAAAAAAATAATATTTAGGTGCCAAAATATTTTTTTGCGGGGTCCGAACCACTTCAAGTTTGGGGCCCGTTCGGGGACCCGAACGCCCGACCGTTCGGGGGTCAGCTTAGGGGCCTCCATACGTTCAGCCAACCCTGATTATACTTATTATATTCTATGCTACCAGAGTGGTCCGGGGACCACTTGTCCGGCCGGGTCAAAAATGAATTAAAAAATATATTTGACTATATTAGCATTTTATCTAATATCTATATATAGTCAAACAGAGCTGCCCGGTAAATTGTAGGCACAGAGGGAGAAGAGAACAACAAACAAGGGGCTGTGACAAACTGTTTCGTCGGAGTTTATATATCATATGTTTAATTTCTTTTTCATTTTTTCGTGCAGTATTTCAGTCCGACCCTGAGGCAAAAGCTGTTCACCTTATTGTTCTGCACAACTTTTTTTTTTCGGATTTTTAAACATTTTGTGAGGAACAAGCCCTCAAGGGGCCCTATCAGACATCACATTGTTCTGGGCTAAGGCCCCCAGCAAGCCAAGTGCCCGCCCTAAGTGAAGGCGGGCCTGAATATTCGTCAAAGGCAAAATTCGACATTTCCATATGTGGGTATTCAGGCTGTCGCAGCACGCCAGTTGGTTGGGAAGACGCGTGAGCCTCACATTGCTGCGTCATACAGTTGGCCCAGCCTTTGACAGTTACGCCTGGGCACACATACACAAAGCAGGGCCGATACATTGGGAAGCAGGCCTTCGGCCTTTCCAAAACCAGTAGTGCCAACGCACCTGCCGGGGAGCCCTGCACAGATGCAGCAAACAGCCCAAGTCCGGAGATTCAGACCGTGCCTAACTGCAAAGGGCCCAGGCCCTCAACTGTAGTCTCGGGCCTGGGCGCAGGGTCTGGGACCCCACCGGAAGCTACTGGAAGCTTCCAGCCAGGCCACATGCAGCATCCGGAGGATGCCACTTCCATAAAAGAAGTGAGGCAGCCCAGGCCAGGCATTCTGGCCAGAGCTGGCAATGCGGAAATGCTGCTGCGCTCTCGCTTGATGCTGCGCTGCTGCCAAGGGCGCTGACGGGGCACGAGAGGTGTTGTGGGGCGCTGCAGGGCAGCGGGGCGCGGGCGGCCATAGCCGGGCTGCTGGGCGCCAGGGGGGTACAGCGGATGATCAGGTGGTCTTCAGGGAAGGAGGTGCTGTGTGGGGTAATCAAGGTCTGATTGAGGGTGACGAGATACGTACCTGGTACATGAAGGGAGGTTGGCGATGGTGTTGGCAGTCATGTACATTGGTCTTCGAGAGTCGAAGTGATCCTGTTGCGTGAACCGGCTGTAGGTAGGCTAGTCAGGTAGAGTAGGCTGGGCACCGAGCGCCAGACAGGAGAGAGCGACTTTGGATACTGTGTTGGTGTGGCCTACGGGCTTGGACATTGGCTCATTACTTCATTGTATTGCTCTATATGGATGCTTTTCTCGGTGCATTTGTACTCTCTGCTTGGGACACGACTACTTGGTCGGCTGTGTGATTTCACAACTTGGTTTTATGCATATCGCTCACACTCATATTCCTTGCAATTTTTAAATGATTTTCTGGATTTATTTTTTTTTTTGCAGGGATCTTCCCCGGTCTTTGCCCGGCCGGGCGCCCCGGTCAAACAAGGTTGAACCGGGCGGCCAGGTTTATAACACCGAGTATCATTACATTATATTACTATTTGAATATCACTATTTTATTTCACGGCTGAACCCTTTCAAATATCAATCTTATTTGTGTCTCTTTTCAATTTTGCCCTGCTGGTGAAATAACTTGAGCTTGAGAAGTTTGAGAGTATAAGATCGTTTGTCAGAAGTCAAACAGCCAGCAATGTGTGCGTAATACTGCGTATTGGTACTTTTTTTTTCTTTTCTTTTTTTTGGCCTAAAGCGGCATTTTATTACAGGGCCCCAATGTGGGCAGCGCCGCTGCGTATTGGTGCTATTGGGTCCAGTTGGTTGGACTCGATCTGTACAGAAATGCAGCGGCGCCGCCCACATTGGGGCCCTGTAGCAAATCTCTTGAGAATCATGGGTCTTCTCAAGAGATTTGCAACTGTTCCTTGTGTATTTGAATGAGTTGCGGAATCTGACTACGAGGGGGAGTATGTATGCTTAAATTATGTATGCTTAAATTATGTAAGCTTAAATTAAGAGGCACTGAGAGTGACTGAAATGAATAAGGATTAATGAACAGTGATTTCATTGATTTGAAGTTTTTTGAACTTTTTCAAGTTTTTCTCTTGTTAGCGCAAAGGGAAAAGAGGGAAGAAAAAAAGACACCACTAGAATGCTGTTTTCAAAGCGAGGCATGATGAGCTTTGATACATATTAAACGAAAACAAGCAAACAAACAAACAAACAAACAAACAAACAAAGTTTAATAAACTCGGCCGTCGAAATGCACCCTCAACCCCCTTCGAAACCCTGAAAAACGTATTCTAGCGGCTTCACGTTTTTTTTTACTTTTTGTTTGTCGTAAGGGGTTATAGCCCCTCGCCTTATATTGTATCAATCTGACAATGGCAGGATTTGAACCCATGATCTGCGCACGAACCGCTACAAGAGTGTAGCATTCAGCCACGTGAACTCGGCATAGGGATCTTCTCCTCCTCCTCCTCCTCCTCGTGATACTACGTGTGGGGTAGTTGAAACGCATAGAGGACTAGCCGCGTGGGATGGATGGACGGGGAGTATGTTCGCACTTTCTGTTAATGGAGATCCTTGGTTTGGATATCAAGTTCTCTGGACTTCGGCTCAATGTGTAAGCATAGGTAACGGAATGTCTTTATGGGCGTATCTTGTGCATCTATTCTCACGCTTGATGCTCTCTTGCCTAAAAGTATTTCATTTCGAGAAAGGATAAACCTCAGTTTTCAGCATATCTGAAAAGGCAAAAAAGAAAGAACGACAGCAAAGAGAGAGAGAGAGAGAGAGAGAGAGAGAGAGAGAGAGAGAGAGAGAGAGAGAG